CCTCTCCCCCTCCCTCTCCCTCTCCCTCTCCTCTTCTGTAAACCACATTAGGTGGCTGGAGGCGGGAGCTAGGAGAAGCCATCCCGGAGCTGGTATTAAAGGTGATAAGAGTCTTGTCTCTTTAATTTACAACTCCCTAGCATTTACTCATGAATTGAACCTTCTTTCATGAAACCAGCGCTGGTCGCTGCAGAGTTTCCTAAATAGTTTAATTCTGTTCATTCAACTTTAAGTTACAGGTACAAAATAACTGACTTTACAAAAACCCTTTAAGATAATCTTAGAATTATATGTAGTTTTAAGAAATAATACAGAGCAAGCCCATGTACCCTTTACCCAGTTTCCCCAAGTGGGAACATCCTGCAAACTATACTACAGTAGTACAACTAATATATCAACATTAATGAGAAGCATATCATCACCATAAGGATCCCTTTTCCCATTCCCCTGTCGTCTTATCCCATCACAGTCCTTTTCCCCTGTCCTTAACCTCTGCCAACCACTAATCTATTCTCCATTTCTATAATTTTGTCGCTTCAAGAATGTTGTATAAATGGAGCTAGGGGTATAGCTCAGTGATAAGGCACTTGCCTAGCATGCTTGAGGCTCTGGGTTAAAAAACTAGCCCCACCCAAAAAAGTTATGTAAATAGAATCATGTAACATTTTGAGATTGTGTTTTTTCACTTAATATATTCCAGAGATTCATCTAGGTTGCATGTATCAATACATGCAAGCAGCTAGTGATGTTCCTTTTGTTGTAGAGTATTCTTCTACAATATGGATATACTACAACTCATTTAACCATATACCCATCAAAGGACACCTGGCTTATATCCAGTTTGAGGCTATTAGAAAATGCTATGAACTTAATTTTTCATTTTTTCTGAGATAAATCCGAGGAGTACAACTGTTTGGTCATAAGGAGGTGGCATGCTTCAACTGTCTTTTTGTATGGGTTTTGTTTTTGTGCTGGGGATTGAGCTAGGAGTGCTTTACCACTGAGCTGCATCCCCAGTCCTGTTTCCAAGTGCCTACCATTTTATATTCCTATCAGCAATGTATGTGAGATTCAGTTTCTCCACATCCTTTCCCTACTGGCTACTATCACTGTTTTTTGTTGTTGTTGTTTTTACTGTAGACACTGTAGAAATGGAATTTCATTGTGGTTTAATTCCCATTTCCCAAGCAGCTAGTGATGTTAAATATCCTTTCAAATGCTTATTTGCCCTTTTATATCATCTTTAGTAAATGTCTAAGTGGATTTTTTTACTTTTGAGTTTTGAAGTTTTTCTGTATACTCTAGATGCAACTTATCCTTTGGCATGTGGTTTGAGACTATTTCTCCAGAATCCACTATTTCACAGGATCCACAGTCAGATCTTGAGCTCTACAATGATAAACAAACTCATGAGAAGCTGATATATAAGTCAAAATGCCAATGCATTAATGTCAGAGAAATGTGTCTGATCAAGGATTAACAAAAGTCAGAAATGGGAACTCATATATTGTTGGTGAGAGGTTAAATTGGTCCATCAACTCTAGGGATTTAAGAATGTCAGGTGAAATTTATATCCCCTATTAACAAGAAATTTGACTTTTTGAGAAATCGGTACTGAGGAGCATGAGCTTCATCGTTTGTAACGGTGAAACTAGAAACAAACTAAACAACAACAGGGAATGGAATGGCATATTCCTACAGTGAAATAATACAAAGCAGTGAAAATAAGTGAATGAAAATAACCCTCACTGTGGAGCAATAAAGCAAATTACAGGATAATACTATAAGATACCACTATGTAAAACTTAGAATAGCAGTTTACCTCTGGGGAGAGGGAAAGAAGGCAATAGGATTAAAGAAGGGTATAAAGCAACTGTCTAAATTCTGGACTTTTCCTAAAAAGTTTTTAATCATGTAAAAATTGCCTTTTTCTTCCTCACTGCCTGATATCCAGCAGCCATTATGAATGACCTATAAATTATCCAGACCAGAAAGTTCATCACTGATGAACTTATGATGGTCTGTAGCCCCCTCCATCGTGGGCTACGGAACCTGGGTGACTCAGGTGAATTGAGGCTGGCACAAACAGATCACACTGACACAGAAAGTACCTTTTTTCTTAGGGCGTTTCAGAAGGCTTCTCCACATCTAGCTGAAAAACTCAGGAGGGAGGCTGGCAAGAGAGGGAGGGGGCATGTCCTGAAGCCTATTTATTGAGGGGAGTCCTTCAATACAACATTCCACCCAAAAAAGGTAAGGGGTAGTATTACAAAGGAACAAGAAGGCTGCCCACTCCCTTTGGGTAACGCCTACTCCCAAAGCCTTACTCCCTTGCCATCCCAGATGGTATCCACCTGTTTCTATGCTCTGGGAAACCAGTGTCCACATTTCCATCATTCAAGGCTAAGGGTTTTCGGCTCCTTATGTGGCAGTTCTCAACAATGGTCAAAGGATACCTTTGCCCTAAAAATGAACAGTACCTAAATACACAGAAAACTAATCACAAAGCACAAGGCCACAGCAAATGTCATCTTTTTTTTTTTTCTTTGAATATTTGAACCCACTTGGCTAACGGGATTTCATCCTGTTGCAGTCTGATCTCTGGGTGTTCAGAGAAGCAGACATGAATTAATCTTGCCACAGCCTAAGCGCTTAAAAGTGTTAGTGGCTCAGATCCCTTGGTTTATGTTGTTTTGAAGTCAGGTAACTGAGGTCAGTTATTCACGTATGGGAGACCTAAAGTTTGAGGTAACATGCTTCAGAAGGGGGAATTCATTCCAAATTCTCGCATTTGGGATCTGAAACCGCTCTTAAAAACCTCAAAACAAAAACCACAAACTCCAAAACGTAGCAAACTACAGGTTTTGCATCATTACAAAGCCACACAGCACGTGCATCCTGTTTATAGACTTCTTTATACCTCTATTTTAATTTGCCTTGCGCTTTCGTTTTTGTTTTCCTATTCGTCGCACTAAATCTCCATGAGAGCCAAGACTCTGGATCCTCAGCTGTGTCGTAGGGCGCCAGGAAGAAACAGTGAGTACGCTGCTTGCCCTTCTGGTTAAGATGTGTTGGACGACACCTAACTGGATATTTTTGGGAGGACTGCTCTGCAACAACCTTGTGGGCTACCGTAGACACATAAATCCGAATCAGCCCGCACAAATAAGTGCTGGCACTCGCCCAGGCCCCCCCGGAGCCTCGAAACCGGACCTACACAGGTCAACTGGAAGCAAAGACCTAGAAGCTCTACTCCAAACTTCCCCAGACCGGAAGCAGCGTGAGTCGTTTCCGGAAGTAAAGACTGCCAACGGCGGAAAAGACTGGGATTTGGGGCGACTATGGGGAAAGTGTTGCTAAACCTGGCCCCTCTGGTGCCCATCAGCCCACCCATTCCCGACCTAGCACCCCCCTGCCTCGGCCCGCCCATTTCCCTGGGTGGGATCTTGGGCCCCTAGAGAATCGGCTGGCGGTTCGCCCTCCCCTCCAGCGACTTAGTGTGAGTTGCTGGAGCAACGTCCACTTCCGGGGTCGGTTCGCTCGAATCCCGCTCCCCCCTGCGGCCTGGGTCGGCGGCCCTTGCGTTCCGTGTGGTTTGTGGCTCAGGCAGCAGCTGCGCACGGAAGCGGATTTCGGGTGTCCGGCACCCGGGTTTTCCTACACCGCTGACTTAGGGCTGGTTCTGACCGTGGTTGCTGCTGGCAACGTACACTTCCGGGAGCGAGTGCCGGCCCCAGCCCGCCGGACGCCCGAACCCGGGGTTCCAACCTCCACAGCGGTTAGGTAGCCGCTGCTCGCCGCCGGGGAAGACCTCGACCCAGCCTGCAGGTCGCCTGTCGCGGTCCTTTTCGTCGCCTCGGCGGGGCCTCCAGGGCCGCCATGGTTCTACTGCACGTGAAACGAGGCGACGAGAGCCAGTTCCTCCTGCAGGCGCCGGGAAGCGCGGAGCTGGAGGAGCTCACGGCGCAGGTGGCCCGGGTCTACAACGGGCGGCTCAAGGTGCAGCGTCTCTGCTCAGGTGCGGCCGGCGGGGCCGTGTGCCGGGACGGCAGAACCCGGGGCGGGCGCGGGCCGGGCGGGTGAGGACTGGGCGCCCGGGGATGGAAGGTGGGCTCGGGCGGGCCTCGGGGCGAGGGGCCAAGTCTGTGGGAGACGGGGGCGAACCTAGGATCAACAACAACGAAAATACGAAGAACGTAGAGCGGGTCTGACCCCACCGGCTCCGAGGGGCAGCGGGTGAGGCCCAGGGTCCCATGAATCAGTGGGAATAAAAGGGAGCCAGACCGGGCTGAAGAACAGGTGTGAGGGTGGAATGGTACCCGCTTGGGTTTACAGACGGTGCTTGCCCTGTTTTGAGACACTCGAGGTAAAGCAGTGTCTGCCTTGGGACGTCCTTGAGAGGGGAGAAGCTGTGAGCAAGTGTTTCCCGTCTCCTTGGAAACAGTGTGTGGTCACCCCCCTCCACTCTGGAGCACCAGTGACCAATAGAAGGGAAGTGCCCCCGTTTTCTATGGTGTCTCATCCGCATGCACGAGCTACTTGTGGATGTTGAACACTTGAAACATGGCTGATGCTACCAAGGAACTGAATTTTTAATTTTTCTCATTTTAATTAATTTTTAAAAGACACATTTTTAAGGTAGCTTCTACATTTAAGAGCACAGCTTAGACCTTAACGTGATTCTCTGGTATTATTGTAATTATTATCATCATTATTGAATGTGTATGTAACTGTATATACATATAGGACAACTATGTAAAATTAATAAACTTGTGATCTAGTAATATCTAACTATATAAAATAGGTGTTATGATTTATTAAAATACATAAATGTGTGATTTTTGCACCATTGGGAATTTTTTTGTGGAAGCATTTTTTTTATTGGTTGCTCAAAACATTACGGTGATTTTGACATATCATATTTCATACATTTGATTCAAGTGGGATATGGATTCTTATTTTTACCACTTGTACAGATTGCAGGATCACATTGGTTATACATCCATATTTATACATACTGCCATATTAGTGTCTGTTCATGTTTTTAGGAGCATGTTAGTTTCTGAATTAAACGTGTGCTCCCAAAATAGGCTCAACATTATGTTATTTTTAAATTAAAGCGTATGAGAAGAAAAGGAACTCAATATATAAACTGAAAATGTGGTGCGGAATCTAAAAGTCATGTTGGTGTACTTAGAATCCAGTTGCCAGTGTCAGCTGTGACTCCGCAGGCATCAGTGTTCTGCCTTAGGAAGAGGAGGTTGACTAAAGAGATTGTCCCCCAGTTGCTGAGAGTCTAGAAGGGGGAAAATAAAATTCAGTTACACCATTCACTCCATAGTATTATATCCTTATAGGTCACATGATATCTTGACAATCTTGTGGGAACACCTAGTTCCACTTACCTCTTCACAGAAAGAGAGGAAGGGAAGGAGGAGAGAGGAAAAAAGCCAGGCAGTTTTACAAATTAATATGTAGACTGGTTGTGGGGTGAATGTATATGGATTAGGAAGAATATAAAGCTATGTATTTGGATAATGAACATAATAACTAAAACACCAAGGCCCATGTCTCTTATTTTCGAGAGGTGTAGTAAGCTGCTTTAAATCCTCCCCACTGATTTATTTAAATTATCTATGAAGCAATACAAGCCAGCCTCAGATGATAGAGCTATAAGCCAAGGAAGACTGGAGGTCGATAACTGTCTTGCCTGCCTCACAAGGTCACACTTATGAGATCATCTGTGGCGACCCTTTGGGAAGATGGTAAAGCCCCAAATGCCTATGGAGGCTTTCCCTGACTTGAGCTCCAGGCAGCACAGCATGGGGCAAAGGTTTAGCACACAGAATCTGCAGCCAGCTGCCTGGGACTGGGGGTGAGAGCTTGAGCTCTCTCTGTTTCCGTTGACTGAGCATGAATCGGTGAGTTTGTCAAGGATCAGGGACAGGGCTGGCACATAGTAAGTGAGCCAGATGGACTAGCTCTCTGACCTTCCATTTTTGTGTGGTTTGAAATGTTATAGTGATGATTATGATATATATTGTCTTAACATTCCCTTCTCTTTAAGAAATGGAAGAATTAGCAGAACATGGCATATTTCTCCCTCCCAATATGCAAGGACTGACAGATGAGCAGATTGAAGAACTGAAATTAAAAGATGAATGGGGCGAAAAATGTATTCCCAGTGGAGGTTCAGTATTTAAAAAGGATGACATTGGACGAAGGAATGGACAAGGTAATTGGCCATTTCTGTATGCAGGCCTGAAATACCAGTGTATGAAAGCAGTCATTGAAGTTAAAAACAAAACTATTCGTTCTGTACAAAGTTAGGAGAGAGTGCTTGGTGTGACTCCTTGGTAAGACTAATCCAGAATGGTTTAGGTGGATAAGGAGGCTTCTGCCTTCTTGTGGTTACTAAATTGCCACTAGATTATAAGTGTATCAATGAACCATATGAAATTACCATTTCAATAGTTTAGAAATGGCTGAGTACTGGCAATTTTATATGGTTCAGTCCAGTAGTTTGGGGTAGGTGTTTATTGAAAATGTAATGAAGGTTGGGTGCTACCATTTGCAGATGTTGGGTTTGTTTAAAGGACATACCTCTCTGATGCAAAACACTTTAGTATGGGGCAGAACACTGAAGAAATCCTCCTTTTGGTGGATGATTGATAATGTGGGATTTAAAGGGGGAAAAGGGGTGAAAATCCTTTTTGATATCCCTTTTAACCTGTGTAAAAAGCTCCATTTTATTTATAATTGATCATTTAAGAAACACCTAAATATCTACTATGTCCCTAAAACACTATTAAGAGCAGAAGAGCCTGGTGTGGTATAGTGGCTCTAGAAGCTGAAATAGGAGAATCGTGTGTTAAAAGCCAATCTCAGCCACTTGGTGAGGCCATGTCTCAGAAAGGGCTGAGGATGTGGCTCAGTGGTTAAGTGCTCTGGGTGTAATTCCTGGTACCCAAAAAATAAAAGAGCAGAAGAATATATATAAAGTAGTATGCCTGCAGGGCCATTAAAGATCAAAAAAAAAGTTTGTTTTTTTTAATATTGAGGATAATAAGGAGTCCAAATATTGTTCTTTTATTTATTTATTCATTTATTTCTTGGTGCTGGAAATTGAACTCCCCAGGGCCTTGCATATACAAAGTACATACTCTACCACTGAGCTGCTCTTATTCCTCAGCCCCATTTCCTTTGAATTTTCCTGGAAAATAGTTGGTTTTTTCCCATATCTTTTCATAACTAAACTCATTCTCAGTCTGGAGATATTCTTTGCTTTTTAGAAGAAATTACATCATCATCAACCAACAACAAAATAAATAAATAAATATAAATATAAATATATATATATATATATATGTATATATATATATATATATATATATATATAT